TGTTCCTGCTCTGACTCTTCACTAAAAGAGAGGAGGGGGTGTGTTTGTGCCCAATGTTGCTGCTCAGTCTGTGTGAGCTTCAGCCCGATGGCCAGTCCGCCACTGCACTACCCTAATTCAGCACAACCGTAACCCTTATTCTTTAGATTTTTTTAGAAGGACATTTTCAGTGCTGTCTCCTTAGCGTTAAGCTGTTGTCTTAATGTTAAGCTCTTTTTTAGTGTTAAGCTGTTTTCTTAGTGTTAAGCTAGTCTTACACACAGAGAAAGTTATGCAGTTGTTAAGGAGTACCTCACCAGCAATATTTCACTTTTATTGTATACCCCTTGGGAAAAATACTCAGTGGTGGGTACCATCATGCTCACCAAAGGTGGTGGAACTCAATGGGAAGTAAGGGTACTCATGTGGACAAAACTCAGAAGTGTCAGTACTCAGTACTGGTGAGTACTTAGCCGATTTCAGGAACTGACTAATGTATGCTATGTGCCTGTCTCGTTATTCATCCATTTAAAAAAGCAAATGCAATTTAAAATGTGGATTTGTAGATGGGGGCAAAGTAAATTTGCAAATTTTTTTGTTTTGAATTCAACGATGAATGAATGCTGACCAATGGCAAACTGTCTTAACAGCATCGCCATAACCACCATTGGTGTACCTGAGGTCTGCACCTCAGTAACTTTTACAACTTTTAGTCTTTTTTTATGTTTTTTTTAATGAATTAAAGCAATTTAATTGTTATAATAATAATAATAATAATAATCATAATAACAACAATACAGGCAATTAATGTATTGTAAAGCCTGCTGTAGATCTAGAATTCCCTTACATGTGACAGTAGGCTACATATAGTGTACCGCGCTCCTGGACTGTACTCTGATTTTATATCTGAATTCTAACATCTGAGTTTTTATCAAGTTTAGTCCTTAAATCAGATAAAGTAATTATTGTAGGTGATTTTAATATTCATGTGGATGTTGACAGTGACATTCTTAGTAACGCATTTATCTCATTAATAGACTCAATTGGCTTCTGTCAGAGTGTAAATAAACCAACTCATTGTTTTAATCACACTCTTGACCTTGTTCTATCATATGGCATTGATATTGAACATTTAATAGTCTTCCCACATAATCATTTCCTATCTGACCATTATTTAATAACTTTTGAATTCATACCATTAGATTATAAGCCATTAGGCAAAACTTCCTACAGCAGATGTCTATCTGACAGTGCTGTAGCTAAATTTAAGGAGGAGATTCCATCAATGTTTAATTCAATGCCATGTCTGAATTTAACAGAATCCTATAATAACTTTAGTCCCTCCGAAATTGATAATCTAGTTGATAGTGCTGCAGGCTCACTACGAAGAACATTAGAATCTATCGCTCCTATAAAAAGGAAATTATTAAAACATAGGAAACTAGCACCGTGGTACAACCACCAAACCCGCCAGTTAAAACAAAAAGCTAGGAAATCTGAAAGGAAATGGCGCTCTTTCAAATGATCAGAATATCGCTCGATTTGGCAAGATAATCTTAAAACCTATAGTAACGCCCTCCGTAATGCCACAGGAGCCTATTATTCAGCACTAATAGAAGAAAATAAGAACAACCCTAGGTTCCTCTTCAGCACTGTAGCCAGGCTGACAGAGAGTCACAGCTCTATTGAGCCACATATCCCCATAAACTTAAGTAGCAACGACTTTATGAGCTTCTTTTATAATAAAATGATTACTATTAGAGAGAAAATTAATCACAAACTGCCATCAACAGTTATCAGTGGCTCTCCAAGTTCAGGAACTTTAACTAATGTAAACTATCGATCTTCATCAGTTAACTTCAGTAATTTCTACATCGAAGCCATCAACCTGTCTGTTGGACCCAATCCCAACTAGGCTGCTTAAAGAAGTTGTACCCTTAATTGGCACTTCTTTACTGGATATGATTAATCTTTCTTTATTATCAGGATATGTACCACAGTCCTTTAAAGTAGCTGTAATTAAACCCCTTCTTAAAAAGCCCACTCTTGACCCAGGGGTTTTAGCTAACTAAAGACTGATCTCTAACCTTCCCTTCCTCTCTAAGATTCTGGAGAAAGTAGTCACCAAAGAGTTGTGTGACTTTTTACATAACAATAGTTTATTTGAGGATTTTCAGTCAGGATTTAGAGTTCATCACAGCACAGAGACAGCTCTGGTTAAAGTTAATAATGACCTTTTGATTGCTTCCAACAATGGACTCGTCTCTGTACTTGTATTATTAGATCTTAGTGCTGCATTTGACACCATTGACCATAATATTCTTGTACAGAGACTTGAGCATCAAATTGGCATTAAAGGAACCGCACTAAGCTGGTTTAAGTCATATTTATCAGATCGTTCGCAGTTTGTACATGTTAACGATGAATCTTCAATAAATACTAGTCATGGAGTTCCACAAGGTTCTGTACTTGGACCAATGCTATTTAGTTTATATATGCTCCCTTTAGGCAAAATGTTTAGGAATCACTCCATTAACTTTCACTGTTATGCAGATGATATGCAGTTATATCTATCAATCAAGCCCGATAAAATAAATCAATTATCTAAATTACAAACATGTCTTAAGGACATAAAATCCTGGATGAGCTGCAATTTTCTGATGTTAAACTCAGAAAAAAAACAAAATTCTTGTACTTGGCCCCAAAATTCTTAGAGACTCACTGTCTAAAGATATAGTTACTCTAGATGGCATTACCTTGGCCTCTAGCACCACTGTCAGGAATCTTGGAGTTATCTTTGATCAGAATTTGTCATTTAATTCCCACATGAAGCAGACCTCTAGGACTGCCTTCTTTCATTTACGTAATATAACAAAAATTAGACACATCCTATCACAGATAGATGCAGAAAAACTAATCCATGCATTTGTTACTTCTAGGCTGGATTACTGCAACTCTTTATTATCAGGCTGCCACAATAAGTCCATTAAAACGCTCCAATTAATTCAGAACGCTGTAGCACGAGTACTGACAGGAACTAGAAAAAGAGATCACATCTCTTCTGTACTAGCTTCTCTGCACTGGCTCCCTTTAAAATTTAGAATAGAATTTTATTTCGTCAAAAGACTATGCTCTAATCTCAGATAACACTAATACACTAATATTCCTTCCTTGAGTTAGACTTCAGCTGGAAGTAACACTAAGTGAAAGTAACTTTAATGTTACTGTTAATGTGATGTTATTTTTGTTATTCGGCATTAGCTAATAATACTGGACACATTAGCCTCTTGCATTTTACTAATGTGGTCATATAGTCAGGAGCATACACTGTATGATTCTGCAGGTTGTTTAACAAGACATCAAAACAGTAATTATCATTTAGTTTTCAAAATTATACTACAGTTGATGCGCTGTATATACGTGTATTGCTGTGTTAGGTTTGAGGGTGAAGAATGAATGAATGAATGAAGGATTGGTAGGAATGTGCGGTGCTGTGACCTAGTTCCCTTTGGGTCGGTGTGACCCGCGGAAACACCAGTACAATTTCATCAACAAATACCACTCATAACTACATAATATTATACAACGCGGTTTCACGTTCAGCCACAGGAAGGAAGCTGAGATATTATAATCAATTAATCAAACAGCACTCTAGGCTGTCAAGAATATAGATAAACTGTATAGATAGGAAATGTGTCTGTAATCCCTGGTATGTTACAGGGCCTCTGCAGCTGTGGGTCCCTCAAATAAACACCCCCCACCCCACCCCCAACAACAACCACATTGTAAATACAACAATAATAACAGTAATGGATGAATACAATAACTGTGCTTTATAAATTCATTGTCATTAGCACACACATGCACATGCAAGACCTATTACCTGTCTGCCAAATGATGACTTTCCATTCATTCAATTTCTACATGGTGAACACCACAGCTGCATCAAGCCACTGCAGTTATCACAGCACTAACCAGGAAACTAGGGGATTCTACTTTCAAAGTAAAAGCAGATAATTTGCCGCTTCGTGGTGTAGAGTATTTACCATAATTTATTAGATAGACAGGTCAGCTATCTTAAAAAACGTCTTATCTCCTGATAAGAGTTGGATGGCCAACAACTTTATTCAAATATGTTATAATAATAGTCCTTTGGAGGCAAAGAAAAGCCATAGCTTAAAAAGAGGTGAAGTGTAAGAAGTATGGGATACATTTTTGGTCCAGTGTGTAACATTTGGGAGGATCTATTGTCAGAAATAGAATATAATATTCATAGGTATGTTTTTTTATTAGTGTATAATCACCTGAATAAAGAATTGTTGTGTTTTTGTTAAGGCCACTGTACAGTTACTGTACCACACCTGCCCTGTATTAAATGAATGGTTGTGATTAGCCGGACCAGAACCAGGATGGATGGAAATCTGTCTGAATGGAAGGGGCGGGACCCATCCGCCAGAGCTAATAAAACATGAGCTCGCAGATTTGTCTGCTTTACATGAACGGTTGTGGAAAGCACTGGCAATTGGTGGGAGCTTGATATGAGCTCAGCATCTTTTTTTTTTTACTCCATCAAATTGCTAGTTCTGCATATGGGGATGAGTTAAGAAAATCTGATACAAAGTCCAGTCCTTGAACTGGATTCTTTAAAGACCCCCCTTGGATGTGCACTGGTGGCTTCAAGTTTCTACATCACACTGTACAAGCTGCATACTGGACCAGGACTGACTTCATAACTATTTGTGCTGTCACATACCATGCTGGTAGCCCCCCGCCCCTTAAAATCAGATGTTTTCCAGCTGATTGTTTGCAGGTGTTTGCACTTAAGGCATAGCTAATAAAACACTATGATAAATCATGATTTTGACAAACATGACAACATCGAGTTTAATTTACTGTCCAACGAACATAACCTAGGCTATATACAATTGTATTTGGCAGCACACCAACTTGCATGAGGTTTTATACTGACAGCTGACACCGGAAGTGGTTTTGTCTGGAGTACCCGGTGACTTCACACAGAGAACCCCTCCCTTTCTCCCCATTCACTCCTGTGCAGTGTTTTATACTGAAAGGTAAAGATACGAATTCACTGCGACTTGTACATGAGTGAGCGGATAGTGGCGCAGACAGACTGTCCTCCGTCTGATCGGCTTCATGTGGTATGAGCGTTCCCACTCCTCCAGCCGCTGACTGTGTGTGCAGGTGAGGAGACTTGTGTCGCCTGTTGCTCCTCTGCCTGTCTCTGCTGGATGATGTCCGTGCTGTCTGTCCTTTGCTATGGTCGCTGCCTTCAGTAATTGTTGCACGGAGGAATTGTTTTTCATACATGCGATGTATAATTTAGACGTTGGATAATAATGAATGTGTGCTTGTGCTTGACGTTTTGCATTCTGGCTTTTGTCACAATTAGACAATATTAAGCTGTGATTCAGTGTCGGCAGTTCAGGTAGGCTGATGCGTGATGTTTTCACAGGGAACGTCCTGCCAGACGCCATTTAAAAAAATCTATTTAATGTTTCTTTGGTTATTGCCGAAATTACACAACATATAAATTCTTTAAAAAAATATGGATTTAAAGTGTTTAAAGCCACGCATGCATTCGGCGCATTAAGAAACCACAATCAGCTCTCTATTGTTTGTAAAATTTCAACTTTATTCCTGCTTCGCCTGCAGTTTCTGGGCGATCTTCTTTAAATAAAACGCAAAGCGGAGGGCGGTAGCGAATAATGCGAACCTTTTATAAAAGTTAAAATGCTGTTGAAATAATTGCTGCTTGGTGTGTTCTGTGTGTGCCGAATTACAATGTCGCTCATATAGATTCAGAATCTGAGTCTCATTTTATAACACGTCTAACTGTTGCTTGTCAGTTAAGATGAATATATTAAATCGCTAAATTATTAAATGGGGTTTTGCGTGACGTTCTTTCCATTTACGAGGCTTATCGGGGCCACAGTTCAGGCAACGTTAGGTTTATTGGACTGGAGACGCTGATAACATTACGTCTGTTTGGGAAGCTAATTGTCGTGTTGTCTACTATTGTTTGTCCAGGTCGTAGAGATGACAGGCTGTGTTTGCAGAGCCATGTCCGTCATATGATAGCAGAGCCTTACACGCATCAGATGCATGCGGCAATTAAATAGTTGTGTTGAGCCAGGGAGGTTATCCACATGTGAGGCAACAGCTGGATTCTCCAGGGATTCTCTGCTGTCCGTGCAGACCTCAGGTGCATCCCGGCCAGAAGGTGTTGTGTCGGTTCGCATTTGGTGATTCCACATTCACAAGGCGGCAACCACTCCTGACGGACGAGGTAAACCCCGCAACAGTTATGGAGTCCTATCTCATTTGTATAGAGAACGCATTCACACAAACTCTTTTTAAAATCTGCCACATTCCTGATTTATTAGGCTGGCAGACCTAAATAGCATATCAGTAACTTTAATAAATGGCTCGTTTTTCTTATAGACCCTGGTTCTTTACTCTGGTATGTAATATGGGGAGCAATTCTAAAAGCTTAAATTAAAATGAATAGCCAGTGCTATTGCTTGTATTTAATATAGGCAGAACTGAAGAGGTTAAAGCTGCAGTAGGTAACATTTATAAATGTCATATTTACTGAATCTTATCCTAGACAGTAGAACATGACAGTAGATATCCTGACAGTAGAACATGAGACAGATAATCTGTGTAAAAATCAGGTTCCTCTGGCTCCTATAGTGCTCCTAATGGTATTTGCAAATTTCCACCGGGCCTGAACAAAAACAACCAATCAGAGCCAAGAAAGATATAATGATGCTTTGGGTTGGAAGCAGTTGATTCTCATTCCCAGTGTTCCAACGCGTCTGTATTTGACACCCTAGGAATGAGACCTAACAATCAACTATCTTTCTCGCCTCTGAGCCAGAGGCACCAGCTTTTTTCACAGATTATCTGTCTCATGTACTACTGTCAGGATATATATATAGTGAAAGTATCGGCAAATATGACAAAAAAAAGTCTCTATAAAAATGACCTACTGCAGCTTTAAATGCAGTGAAATGTTACGAGCACACGAGTTTGCCAGTATGTAAAGCCCTTCACCATTCATAGTTGAATTGTTGAAATTAATCGTTTTCATGTGAGGAAACTAATGTCTAGGACAGCAACTAACAATTATTTTCTCCATTTATTATTTTATTGTTTAATCAGTTTGTTATCTGCTCTGGAAAAGGTTGGGAACGTTCCCAGTCCAAGGTGACATCTACGGATGTCTTGTTCTTTCTGACAAACTAGTGCTAGGGGGTATGACCATAAATTAGTATCAGGGTAGTTTTTAAGATTGTGGCAGTTTCACAGTATGTCATATTATTTTTTTCTGCATGACTTGGCCTCTGTATAGGTTTATATTGGCTTATTCTATTGTCAGAAATACATAGAACATAAAAACATTTTAATGTCATTGCGTATATACTGTGATTAGGGTTTTTGGCCTAACAAAATGATACAATATATATGAAGGAATGAGAACTTTTATTTCGCAAACCGCAATGTTAAAAATAATACTTTAACTTTGCCTCAAGAGAGATATTTCTCAAATGTTCTATGGCACAAGTAACAGTCTATGAAAAATGTATATCATAGACGAAATTAAAAAAACGGTAAAGCGTCATCCGGTATATTGCCCAGCACTGTGTCCGAACTCAAAGATATTTGATTGACAATGTATATAAAACCAGGAAAAGCGGCTATTTCTTACAGTTTGGAATTAGATACTGTTTGGTATTTTTGCTGGAAAAATTACTTAAGTGAAGAATCAAATCAGTTGTCAAAATAGTTGCAGAAAATAATTTTGCCAGTAAACAACAAAGATTAATCAACTGATGGTTTCAGCTATACTAATGTACAAGTCACGTCTTTGTGCAATAATATGTTCATAGTAGAATTGTTGTATTTATTGTTTGTTGTTGAAGAAACTTGGGGCATCTGGATTTAGAAATTCCCAGTATCCATGTGGATTACAGTCCACTTAAATGAATAAATGTTCATTATTTTGTATTAATATTTCTCCAGTATTTTTTCTCATTTAATTTCCCATTATGAAGCACTAAATGCTCAAAGCCTTATGCAAATGGTCAGGAATAAAGTTTTAGTATCAAATTGTCACCTTTTTATAGGTCTAGGTATTCCTTTTTTGGTGCAGGATAAAATACATCTATATAGAAAATTCTCAAATTAAAATGAGTTGTTTGCTTGCTCTTTGATCAAATATCTGAATCTGAAATCTTTTCTAACTTTGGCATATATTCTATTTAGAAAGAGCTTTTTATTTAATTCTGATGTATTGAGCTGCTAAATTTGAGAAATAAAAAACAACAAGGTCCAAACCATCGACATATACAAAGATGGGCACATGACAAAAGTGAAGCCAAAACATTTTGATTGCCCCCTGGTGGCTGACTGCAGTATAGGCGTTAAAGCGTGCTGCCTCCATGTTAGCAGATGGGACATGGGGCAAACCCAAAAATCAATATACACAACAAATAAGTGGTTTCCTGTATTTTAGGTAGTTCTTATCACACTGATGTTTGTTCAAGTGTGGATTTTTCGGATTAGTTTGGTTTTAATTAGTTCTTTAATGCTATAAAAAGGGTGTTTCACATCAGGATTGACAGCTGAACCTTGCTCGCATGGTTGCATCGACTGGGCGGGATCTCAATACAGATAGCTCCAAATGACGTCACCAGCACAAGATGGCAGTGGCCGTATCTGGTATACTTTGGCTTCACTTTTGTGCAGTGGGAGGAAGTGGAGGCTCAACGTCCATCTTTTATATGTTGAAGATCCAAACATGTTTATATTCCTCAAAGGTATTGTATAGGCACAGATACTGACACCCAAGCCTAAGCTCTTCCTGTATTTATTACTTTATGGTTTGAATTAAAATTTGTCATATTTAAGTATAGAGTCTAAACATGCTGGGATCAGTCTGTAAAATACCCATCCTGTGTAAGGTTTCAAACCCAATGCCCTGTTTTGGAGAGAGTGGAGAAGTGAGTATGACACAAAGCATTGTTAGCAGCTCTGGATAAAACATCTTTTGTGTATGCCCTAATGAAGCTTTAAAAACCTATTTTACTTGTTAGTGATAAACCCTTTCCACAGCCAGCTGCAGAATGAGGTTGTCTGCTCTCAGACAAAAGATAACAGGTTAGGAATGCAGCTGAAGGTATTTTAATGAAGGCAAAAATGGTCTAATTGGGGACATTGTGATCTTTGACGCTGTCAAATATGACAACCTCCCGCTGCCTTCCTGTTAATGTTATTTATCAACTACTGACTTAAATCTTAAGAGAGCCATAGCTTCGTCATCTGAGAACCAGAATTTTTCACAAGGAACTTAGATTATCATATTTTTACTTCTCCAGTATACGTTAATGATTTTCTATACATCCAGTCATCCTAACTACTGGGATGTGCTGTTGCTTTTTGAAACTACAAGAATAAGTTGATTTAGATTTTTTTATTGGCCACTTGAGAGCAACACAAAAAGAGCAAAAACAACCTGTTCATTTTGCTGACTAATCATTTTCTTTTTTTAGTTTTATCACCATTTTTTTTTAACTGAAGAAAACTAGATAACTAAATAAAACAAATTTATGATGACAAAAACTAAGGCAAAATCTACCAGCGTTCTGGGCTACTGTAGAAACATGGCAGTTCAACATGGTGGACTCCATGGAAGGTGACCCACAGCGTTAGTAGATCTAAAAAGTTCATTTTGAGGTTACGAAAACACAATGATTCCTACATTCAGGTGATTATACACTAATGAAAACATACCTATAAGTGTTATATTCCATTTCTGACAATAGATCCTCCGTAATGTTACACACTGGACCTTTAAGGAAACAGTTGAGTCACAGATATCATCTGATATTTTATACCGTTAGCGGATACAAAGCATGTAATCCCTCATTCTCACGGGCGAGGTGATCTGACCTTTCACGATCCAACCTGTGATAGCAGTGAAGGAAAGTGAGGTTTTGGGGGTTGTAGGATGTCAGTTCAGCCAGCCTTGCCTTGTAATTCATCCTGCTGAAAAAGCAGTACCAAGCAGAGGGACAGTAAGTGCTTCTCACCAGCAGGCTAATGATTCTTTGATTGCGAACTCCTCCCTTCTGACGATAAAGCACAAATCCTCTGATTGCAGTCAACTATTACCCAGTGGCAGAATCACCAATATATGTGTGCAGTGTATGAATCAGACCTGTACACAGGTTTAATTTTAAGCATGTTCATACTTGGTCAATATCTTGCGCAAATCATGATGTATGGTTAGAGTTTTATGGGTTTTTCATTGACACTAGTGTAGTGGCAAATTGATAATCTGACATAGTTATCCTGGCCTGTTATTGTCACGATAATGGAGAGCAGTGGGGTAAGCATTTCTAGGTAATGTGACTCGAATTCAACACTCTTTTGTTTTTTTTATTCTGCAAATATCTCCTCGTGCTCTGCTAGCCTTCTATTCTGTGCGTGCACTGAAAAAGGGTTCCAGGGTTTGTACACAGCCCTAGCTCTGTAAAATGGGAAACAAGGTGATCGGACTGGGCTGCACAGCACTAACTTGTTATTCCAGCATTCCAGCCAGGATTGGTTTGTCAGGTAACATTAAATGATTTTACGACCGACATTCAGCTTACTGTCTAGTTTGTCAAGATATGCTGTCGTTGTAATGTTGGCTATAGTAGCAGGAGAGTTGTGAGTCTCGCTGTGCTGGTGCCATTCCCTCTCTTCATTTAATAGTTCTTAGAGGGTAATTCAGACTATTCTTAAATTATTCAAAAACTTCTCATAGAGCTTCTTGTGCCATCCTTTTTGAACAGGTAGTCATTTAATTCAATTCAATTTTATTTGTACAGTGCCAATTCATAACAGAAGTTATCTCAGGACACTTTTCAAATAGAGCAGGTCTAGACCGAACTCCTTATAACATTATTTACAGAGACCCAACAGTACCACCATGAGCAAGCACTTGGCGACAAGGGCAAGGAAAAACTGCCTGTTAAAAGGCAGAAACCTAGGACAGATCCTTCGGCTCTAGGTGGGTGGTCGTCTGTCTCGACCAGTTAGAGAGAGAGAGAGAGAGAGAGAGACAGACAGACAGACAGACAGACAGACAAGTGCACAGCAACAACAGTAGCAACAACTACACTAATAGTAGTGACTGATGATGATGAACATGACAACAGCAACGATGGGGGACAATGAGCAGTGACAACAGCAACAACAGTAACCGTAGCAATAATAATACTTATAATAATAATAACA